GAAAGAAGCTGCTGGAGTCATTCAAATGATGCAATGACCCCCACAGAACCCCGATCTCAACCCCATTGAGCAGATCTGGGACTTAAAAGATCAAAAACTTTACAAATCAAAAGTTACTTCTAAAGAAACTTTATGGGAGTGTATTAGCGACATTTGTAGTAAAATCCCAAAGGACACTTTGATTAAATATGTTGCAACAATGCCTGAAAGACTGTCAGTAGTTATTAAAGAAAAAGGGGGACACAAAATATTAACTGTTTGCTGAACTCAAGCACTTCCATTGAGTTTGTTGTACTAAATATGAAGATTAATAAAATTTTGATGTGCTTTACCTTCCATTGTTCTCTGAAATCTAATTTTTTACTTTGTCCTGACAATTTTGCACGGTACTCTACATCCGTATGTCTTATTTTAGCCATTTAAAAAAAAATTATCTGTGTTCGTTTACTTTAAATGTTATATATGTGTTATGTACAATATTTATTTATGTTTGTATATTTTAAGAGTAAAATTATAAGAAATGTTAGTATTCTTTCGTAATTGGACAGTAAAATAATTAGTTTCCTAGAGCTGTTGGTATTTGTTTCAGTTTTTCTGTGGTGACCTTTAAGTTGTATGTGATTTACATTTATGTATGAGTAATGTCAATGGGTCTGAGTACTTTCAGGAGTAGCATATAGACTTTTGGTTTTGACTGAGTGTATAGATACATCTTAGCATAGTCTAACTATATTGTACTTTACAGATTGCAAGAAGATCCTCCAGCTGGTGTCAGTGGGGCTCCTACAGATAACAACATCATGATTTGGAATGCTGTTATTTTTGGGTTAGTGAAAAGGCAATTGTATATTATATTTTCATTTAAACTGTACAAGTCACTAAGTAATACCGAGATCATTAATTACTTTAACTCTAACTTTCATTTAAACTGTATGTTACTAAGTAATACCAAGATCATTAATTACTTTAACTCTCTCCACACGGGCTTGGTCAATTTTTGTACTCGTATAGAGTCTTTATAGATTTGATACTACCAACTTTTGATATAGTGTGTATATCTTCAAAATTTGGCAGTCTTTCATTAAATATTATAAGCCTTTCACATACAAAAAAATCATATTTTTAGTGAAGTATTTTTAATAAACTAAAATAAGATTTTTCCTTGAATATATCGTATATTTGTTTTGAATAATCCACGTGCAATACTTTTCTTCATCTCAGAAATCTCAAATTTCATTTGTGTAATCTCTCAAACCTCCTAAATACATTTCAAATGTTTGTTTTCAGTACAACTTTATATTTTATCTGTTATTTCCTCTACCCTAATTCTGTACAAGGTTGGCCAATTTGACTGACCTCATAACACCCCCCCCCAAAAAAAGTAGAAAATCTAAATTACCATCCTTTTTTTTCTAGAATGACTTCGAATGTAGTGTGAAACTGCATTCGTTTATTCTAAGTAGCTTTAAACTCGAAAAAGTATACATCTATTTGTAATTAGATTTTATTGCCCTTTTGGTTGCCCTTTGAACCATGTCTAATTACTATTCTCTCCATTATAAGTTGTACATCATTTGGGGAATATGCAGCTCACATTACGCTATCAAATTATATTACCCACGAGCTACTCTGTGCTGCTCACGTGCGCGCCTCTTGAAATATTTTTATTATATTATTATTATTATTGTTGTTTATTTTACCTAATCTAACCTTAATTAATCTAAAGAGATTTTTATTTTTACATTTAAGTTACTTTTATAATAATAAATAAAGAATAAACATAAAAAACAATAAATATAGTACTTACCTGAGTATTCTTTTTTTTTTTGCTCTTGACTATCAATGATAGTTAATCCTACTTTTTTAAACTAATAGTAGTAGTGCATTAAATAATTTTTATTTAATTAAATAATACACCAAAGAACATAGACTAATAACTTGCAAAAAGCATACAATTTCCTTTAACAATCACAATTTTGCTGGCTTTCTAAGTATGCGACAAGAGCCATTTCAAATGCATCCAAGCTAGCCGTTGTGATTCCCATGGGTACCAAAATTGAATTAGAAGTGAAATTGACTATTCTGTGTTCAGAACACAACATTATACAATATGTCATTTAATAGATGAAAACCTTGACTTTGTATTGTCATAGGTAATATATAATTAAATGTAAGAGAGAACTATTAACAAGTCCTGAAAGAGGTGGGTGTAGCAGGAGGGGTCTTATTTTCTATTTGATAGCTCTGTAACCAAACAAAATTGAAGGCTTTAAAAACTATGGTTTGTCTGAGCAATGACAATTGTATAGTGAGTAATTTATGTTTAATTTCATAGTTTGGTGGTGGGATAAAATAGCGATGAGAGGATACCTAGAGAAAATGTCACAATATGGGAAATTCAGGATTTTTTTAAATATTGCTTAGTAAAATTAATAACTTAAAACTTGTATACTATTAAAATATGGATTATTAGCTAAGATTTTATGCTATACTAATTGATATAACATAAACGAAAAGTAGTTTAATAAAATTTTGAATATAAGACACTAAAACCTTGTGTCATGTACCTTGGGCGAGAGGGTTAACTAGGACATTATACATGTCATTCCTTAACATGAGCTTTAGAGCAATATTTTGTCAGTTTAAAGCTGTTACTGCAAATGAACTAGACATCATTTTTAAAACTTGACTTGAGAAAATGTTTAGGGTGAAAATTTCCTTTTAATCAGTACTGCATCAATCATAATTATGCCATTGTGGTTGTACATTGATACATAGATAAGAACGGTAAGAACAGAGGTAAATAGGTGGATATAGTTTGTTTGTTTTTAACTTTTAATGGTGTTATTAAGCATTGGTGTCATAAGACTAGCCATCTGTTAAAGATTCAATCTGTAGGATTCTTTTATTTATTATAACTAGCTGAGGGTACCCCTTAAGGAAGCAAAAATTGTATAAATGACAATGTTAGATAATGTTCCCCTTCCTTCTTTATTCTGTTATTAAATCCCTAATGACCTTGTTAAATGCTAATTGCGAACTAGATAATAAATTGAGTATATGGTACATAAGATGTGAATCAATTCTTTCTAGTTTTAAAGACATTTGTTTTTAGATATTGTGTATGTATATAGAGCTAGACGATTAACTCAATTGATATAATTGAATACCTGTGAGCACCAATTATATCAAAGTGTCACATAAAATCATTGATTAATCCAAATTATTTTTAAATGGATTAATGTGAAAAATAAACTAATCAAAATTGGTGGTTCTGATTGTTACCGTATTTGGTAATTAAACTCCCGTAATTAAAATATTGCCTTTATGATTTTTCATTATTATTTTTGATTAATTCAAGTTTGTTCATCGTAATCCATTATGTAATGACTCACGAAAATAATCAACTAATCAAAATTAGGGTTTCCATTTATTACTATTTTCAGTTATTCAGACTATCCAAGTAATTGAAATATTGCCATTATGTTTGTTTCTTGTTAAGCAAAAGGCTACACAATGTGCTATCTGTGCTATACCCACTGCGAGTATTGAAACCTGATCTTTAGTATTATAAATTTTTTGTCTTTTCTATTCATTCAAGTTTATTCACCTTTGGGCCATCATGGCATGCTGATTAGAGGGGTTGTCTTGTGATTTGAGGGTAGTGGGTTTGACATTTGTTGCCCTCAAACTTTCTTGTGCTTTCAGACATGGGGCATTATTATTTGTTTTAGAGATATGGTAAGGCTATTTGCTAGTCTGCTTCTGTCCCTAATGTTAGACTACTGTCAGAACGTATTGGCAATTCTTGAGCTACCTTAGTGTTAAATAAAGTGCAAATTTACTTTTTTTTACATTGTGTTATATTTATAATTACTTAACTATACTCTTTAAATTTGAATAATTTATAAAATATGTTTCTATGTTAATACAATCGACTTAAAACTTGCTTAACATTATTTCGACATACCTTGCCGCCACGCACATAATAGTAGATTTTTTTTACTTGTGCTGCTCTCTGTATGCACAGTTTTTGCTCACCACTAGCCTTGATGCTCCCACCTATCCTCACATAATTTTTCATGTTATAGCTGTGCTGTAGCATGCAAATAAGCATATGACAACCCTCCACCAATAGGAGCGCAATACTCATTATTGCTTGTTTTTTGCATTTGATTCTTCATTTAAATATATGTATGAAGTTGTTCATTAGAATTGCAAAAGATTGAGAATTCTGAATTATATAACTCTTTTTAAACCCATAATTTCTTGTGTGTTCTGCCAGAATTATCACCATACCTTATAAAATGTCTGGTCTGTTTATAAAAGGTGGATAATAACATGGTTTGGATTAGTTTTCAGCCAAAGAGGCATAAATGTTATTGGGTGCCAGCACTGGCAGTGCCTGCTCGGTTTTAAGGAGTCAAAATCATTGGAAGATCATAGATTGGAGATAGTAGAAAGAATATGCATTTTCCACAAGAAGCCTTGCTCACACGGTTGTATTATACGTGTAATTCTTGTTGAAAAGCAGCCGATTTAATGATATTGTGCTAGGGCTGATATATATAGCTTTGTTATTAGTAATATTTCATAGCAGAATTAGCTTATTAGTAAAATTAAACTTATATTTGAAGATCTGATATTTAATATAATTGAACAGATGGTATGGAAAATAAAAGGAATTATTTTGAAATATTTTGCAATTGTAGAGTTGAAATTTCATCACTTAAAAAGCAATATTGATTCATCATTACAACAAGTGGATGTGATCACTGCAAACTGTAGTACTCTTTAATATCTGTCTACAGTAATGCATGTATATGCATTTTTATAGGATTACTGTAAAGTTGTTGTATATTTTAAAATTTTTTTAGGCCTCACGATACTCCATTTGAAGATGGAACATTCAAACTGACATTAGAATTCACAGAGGAATATCCTAATAGACCGCCAACCGTTAGATTTGTGTCCAAGATGTTTCATCCTAATGGTAAGATGTAGTTCAATTTGTGATAACAGGGAAGGTTATAGATACAGAAATATTTAAAGACATACACTTGGAATATTTCTTCTGATATCACGAGTTTTGTAATATATATGTGCATTTATTACTAAACATTGATTGTACTGTTAAAAATCAAGTTCATCAAGCATGGTTTGAGGTTTGGTTTTGTGATTTGATGGTTTTATAATGATTCCCATTGCCACTAAATTGACTATTTTTGTTTTGTTATTGCAAAGCTTCTGAGACTATTTCTCACTGTCATTAATTTTGAGATTAAAACACGTTTTCATTATTTAATTATCAATTTATTTGACTTACAGAAGATCAGTGTGGGATTACTGCATATTTGAAAACAATGTTGATAATGTGATGGTATTTAGTTGACATTAGCAATTTATCTGTCAAATAGGAAATGTCCATAAAACATGTGGTAAAATATTTTTTTGACAGAAAAAAATGTTTTTCACAAACACGCAGATGGCGACCTTCAGAAGAGGTCTATTATGTGAAATCAAGAGTAATTCAAAATTTACTTTAAACAAAAAAAAATCAGTATTAAAAACATTTGGGAAATTAATACCATATTAGAACACTGTAGTGGTTGAAAAAATTAAGATAGCAGCTCGTTCTCCCCCCTCCACTTTTTTTCTATCACACCTGAAAGATTTCTTTCTAATTACTTGGAATTTATGTTTAGATACGTCATTTCTGACAGGCCACTTGATGGTTACATTCATTACTTGCACAATAAATATGTTTGTAAAGATTGTGATGCTATCTTTTAACTGTATCCTGGGGCCAAGCCTTTGACTATGCACATGTTTTTACTAAATATTAGGTATCTAGAATAGCTCATCTATACTAACCTTAATCTGAAACTTTCACATGCATCATTATCTGTTACATTTATTGATTCATCTTCATTTTTTAAGTTTTTCTTCAACATCTAGCTTATGGTTTAGATTATTGTTTTCGTTCCTTGCAACAGAGTTAAATTATTATTGTCCTAAATTAATGTACATTTCCATCTTATAGCTTGGTAATGATAAGACTAATGGTACTAAAAAGCTGTTTATAGCTTTGAACAAATGTGTAAAATTTGTGCTTTATTGTTTTGTGCTAGTTAGTTCCAAATAAGTAGGTTCACTATGAAATTAAAAAGGTTTCTTAAACAACTTTCTCATCAGTTAATACTTATAGCCTAATGTAAATTTAATGGCAAGTAGTTGTTTTACTTGCTGTACCTACCACACCATTAATTATCTAACTTTGTTATCATTCATTAGTGATTGTATTATAGTTATTACTGTTAGTTAATTTAGATGTAGCCTATCTTTACTGTTATTTATATGCATGATCTGAACAAAACATAATTGAAATATATATATGTACTAACAAGTTTCATCATTTTATGTTTGGATTTTTTTTATTTATAAGTACTAAGACAGATGGCCTGCCTTACTTATTTGTGACTTATTTTTAACTTGTTGAAGCTTGTTTATAAACATGACTATTTTCTTGTTATTGTAATAAGGAGGGTTTATGTTTATGACGTATTACATAATTAGGATTTCACAGTTTAAAGATTAAATACACCAACCAAAGTTCTGGGAGTGTTTCCAGTGTTTTACTACAACATTAGACTGAACCAGTAATTAATTGAGATTAAGAAGATTAAGAACTTGCATTCACTCGGATCCTTGTTGTCTTCTGTACAGTGCACAATTTAGAATATCATATTGCTCAAACAGACGATCTTACATGACTTTGCACATGCTTTTTTGACTATTCTTAGTGTCTTAAGCATTGGATTTATCTGTTTCTTTTTCTCAAAAGGTGGCTTTAGCTACTTGTTAATATTATTAGATAAGAACTCTTTTTCTTGTATGGTGGCAGCTCATGTTCCTCTGAAAGACACCCACATTCTTTCACCTCGGATTATCTTCATCATTTCAAGGTTTTTTTTTTTCTGAGAGTAGATTTATGCTAGCTTTTGCTGTTCTTACTAGAATGTCTTTCTTTTCAGGTCCATGCTGAGGTGACTGTAGTTTCTGAGAGTTAGTGTTGTGCCTAGTATCACTCTCTGTGTCCTTGAAGTCTGTTTAGTTTGGCACATGTTCATTGGATGATTAAACTCTGGATTTAGGTTCAGAAATAACGTTCATTTCACTTAATCGTGATTGTTACTTGGTGAATCTTATTTTTTTTTAGATGGTCTGATTTAGCATGATATGCCAAAATTCTGAATCTTGCATGTTTCTTGGGTATATTTCAATGTGAGATGTGAATAGTTACCATTATCTTGGATTTTCCTTTATAAATATGAAGACTTTAAGAAGACCCTTTGCACCTGAGTCTTCAGAGTACCCAGTGAACATCTTAGGTAGTTTAACAGTTATTTTGGAGTCAAGTCTTCCAAAGTGACTCATATATGAGAGGTGTCTCTAAACCAAGTCTTTTGATGTAGTTCCCTTTATTTCAGAGCTATCTGTAACCCCTTCAGACAGTTTTATCTACTAAGCTATTTTTAGTCATTTGTTATGATTTTCAGTTGATTCATTTTGCATGAGAGCTGTATGTAAACACTTCCAACAGTTTTTTAGTATTACATGTATGTTCTAGTCATGTCTTCTTGGATGTCATTCTTGTTTTAGTGTTGTTTGTAAGTATTCTATTGTATTTCTAAAATGGTATGTTAGGTGATCCTTGTTACAGGGTTGTATTGTTAAAATATGCTTCTCAAAAGTAATAATGTTGAAAACTGCATAATTTAAGGTGCTGAGTATTTCACATGAAGTTGAATTATGAATCATAAAAAAAAAATTGTTGTAATAATCACTTAAATGCAAAATGTACATGTGTCTGTACACAGAGAAAATTTGTTTTAATAGTGTTTTAATTGTAGATGAAGTTTCTTTGTATTCTCTGTGTT